AGGGTGCAATTGTGAAAGATTGTCATTTTATATAAAGCAACGACATTAATACACTTTTGGCCTTTAGAATAACAACAATAGTCATCGACTAAAATTTGAAATGCCAATAAAAATAGATGCAACGTCACAAACCGTACGGTGTGCTTACTGCCTCGAGCAAATTCTCCCAACATACACATTGATAAAAATAGTCCCACCATCATCTCACATATATTCTGAACACTTTCTGAATCCTTTCGACGACGTTAATTTACAGGGATAAACAAGCTAATGCAACATTCATTTAACTCTTTTTTATTTTTCTTTTGGAAAAGAAAACATAAAATAGTTGTATTCACACATGTACCCTCAATTAAACTTACGGTCATTAACAAAATGTAAGAGAAGATATAAATTAAGTAGTCATCTAAGCAAGTCTAGAATTTTAATCGATAAAATTATTAGTTTAGAGTTGTAATGGTGGAGACCCATCAAATTTCAAGGTTAAAAGAAATGCAAGCATATTTATCGTTGACATGTTTACTTTTTGAAAAATACTTAACTCACGGTAAAGATAAGTCTTGTCCTCAGTGCATTTAAAAATTGACCACTCATTAATTTTTATAAAAAAAAATATCTATTTTTGCATTTATGTTTCTTACTTGCCAAACATTTAATAGGGGTAATTTAATAGGGGTAAGGACAAGATTTCTTCCTACTATCAAGGAGTCGGAGTCAAGTATTTTTCTTACTTTTTTCGAAGTAAATTTCCAAAACTTTAGAATAAATTTTAAGTTCCCCAAAAACTAAGTTCAAAATTGCCATCCAAATAATGTATGCACTTGTGTTGACTAAAACTATGTGACATAATTGCCTATTTTAAAACAATAATTAATGCCATTACACCATATAATTATTTATATACAAAATTTCCTAATTAACAATATGGTAACAAATATTTTATTAATTCCATTATTTTATGAAAGGAAAAGTTGCCCAAATCAACATCCCCATCATTTTGTATCACAAAAACTTTATATTGTCATTGCACGGACCGAATACGGTACGGTGTAGGGTTAGGGTTTTAATATTTCCCTTTCTTTTCTTTTCTTTTAAATACAAAAATACGTGTGTGGTAGGGATTCAAACTCACGATGTTTTGATCAGAAATAAATGTCCTAATTCATTGATCTAAGTTTAGATCGGGTTAATTTTTCTATTCTTTCATATTCAAATACATTAATTTATGTGAACTAAAAAAATACATTTATTTTTTTATAAGTTTGAACTTGCATAGTATAATTTTCTAAAGGTTTAAATCTCATTTAAGGCATGTTCGATAACGTTTATATTTTTTGTTTCTTGTTTTTAGTTTCATTGACAAACTTAAGTATTTGACAACTATTTATATCTATTTTTGTTTTCATTTTTTTGGAAATTATGTTCTCAAAATTGTATAGAAATTTTGAAAACAATCAAATAAAGTTTCTCATTTATCGTTTCCATCTCGAAAATTTTTCAAAACATAAATAAAAGTCGTTCTTCTCTAATAAAATGCATAATAAATATTAAAAATTAATAATTACATACAAAAATAATTTTTATATAAAAATTTTACTTTAAATTTAAAGTTGAATGTTACCTTCTTTTTTCAATAAAAAATCATAATAAAGAATAAGAAATGATTAGCAAATGTAATTATGTTTTCTTAAAAATAAAAATAATAATAATAATAAATAAGAAACAAGAAAGAACAGAAAAAACTTACCATAATAGTTCAATGCACTAGCTCATCCACTATATTCTTCTTTGGCTTAGCCTAGAGGTTGAATCTTTAAGCATTATAAACTTACCATGATCCTTTGTGACAATATAGTACTGTCAGGGACGACAATAAAATCTTCCACGTCTCTATAATGGTACGTTATTGTTTATTATAGACTTAAGCTCTCATAATTTTGTTTTTATCTAAGAAGTAGGGGTTACTTACATAAGACACAGATATGACACGACACGAATATGATGACTTGTCATTTTATAAAAATTTAGAACACGAACACGAGAAGGACACGTTATTAAAATATACATTTTTTCAAGTATATATCATTTTGAAATTCAAAATCAATAAGTTTATGCATTATAGACTTAAAGAATAAATTTAATGTATTTTACTCTCAAAATTTATTATTTTGTCTTATATTATTATTTAGTATATTTTTTATTCTCTACTGAGTGTTTGATAGGTGTCGTAATAAGTGCCCACACATTTGTTGATACGTGTCCAATAAATATCGGAGTATCGGAGAGTCAAAGTGTTCGACACGTACACGATCTAAAGTGTCTGTATTTCTTCAATCAAAAAATTGTATTTGATTCCTATATCCCTTCTACTCCAAGTATCTACATAATTGTATAATATTATTCGCTTTGGAAATAACCCTCGCGACTTTGTTTTTGGTTTCACCAAAAAACTTATATTAATTGAGATAATCATCCTCATTTATAAACTCAACAATATAGGACAATCTTATTTGCATACTTTGCAACCTCAAGAAATTAGACCTAAAATGATTTACCGATGGTCAGACCAATTAGGTTCTCCTCAGAGTGAGGATGGGAGAAGTTTTTTCCCGTCTCCACGGGACTCTATATATATGGTAATAATAACTTTCATTTAATGAGTAAATAGGAACTTTCATATAATGAACTGTCTCATGCTACAAAAGTTAGCATAGTCATTTTTGACTCATGGCTACAAAAGTTGAATGGTCATTTTCACCCTTTGGACAAGGCAAGGGGGAAAATGAGTCTGGAACAAAAATGGATCTTGGTGGGCAACCCAATTTGTTCCCCACAAGCATTCAAAAAAGGAGATTGAGATAAATAAATTAATTAATTAAAAAAAAAAGTTGCCCTGGATCTGATATCATAAATACAAGTTACTAATTCATTTTGGCACTCCAAATTTCTGTTTATGAGCTTGATTGCATCCAAATAATCAGATTCAATTTGAACAAGAGCACCTTACTATAGGCATCCAACAAGGAGATCATCGTGGGTACGTACGAGGATGCCAATTTTCGTTCAAATTGCGTCGAGAATCACATGTCGCATCAGTGTTAATCTTTGCACATTTGACTAGAGAAGAGGCTGTCACACATTTGTACAAGGTAATTTTGCTTTCTCCTCCCTCTTTGCCATCTTTGTTCTTCTCAAATTCCTCGACATAATCCACAATCTAGAGTCATTTTGCATCTACTCTCGTAAAGTCTTTTTTTAAAATAAGCCAAATTCTTGTCATTCTAGATTGCCTAATGTAATTCCATCTAATGAAATTTCATTTGATGTTATATTTTTCATCCACAAAAACTACGGATCAGAGAAGTTGTTGTTCATAATTATATCGACATCCACTTTTGACAGGACTCAATTCCATATCTGTTTTGGTTACATGCTCCGTAGTTTTCTCGTAAGATGAAATATTATATTGTTTTTATTTAATCGTTGGATTAAGATGAAATATTATATAGCTTTAATTACGTTATTTAAGAATTTTTTACTTAAATGGGGAGGTTTATTTTTTTTAATAAAAATTTAAAGGGGAGGATTTAATCATGTAAATGGAGATTTATCACTGAGATTTTAGAATTAAGCATTTAATGAGAAATTTCTTTTAAAAATTTTATTTAATTGAAAGATTATTTTTAAAAAATATAAATAATAAATTTTTCGTAAGAAACTCGATCCTCATGAATTTCTCACCTTATCTCTATGAAAATTCCTAGAGATTTTACAGGCATGGATAATTAAATAGGGGGCGGGGCCGGGGATGGAGACGGAGACGTGTGAAGCCTTCCCCATCCCCTCAACTCATAAACACCCTAAATTATTTCTGTATTGGGTTTTTCTTCTTCTTTTTCTATTTTTATTTTTATTCTTTTACGTATTGTAAAATATAATTGACTGTTATATTTGTCAAACCTGACTATAATGAATTTAAATACATAAGTGAAATTTAGAATCTAAACATGAAAATACTTGGACATAAATATTAAATAGTGAAATGGATAAAAGAAGAAAAAAAAGTTAAATTATAAGCCTGTTATCTCAATTTTGAGATTATTTTTAAAAGATTTCTAGACTTTAAAAAGTATAAGTCTCTAAAACTTCTAATTTTGTATCTAATATTTCTTTAAACTTTATAAAATATAATAAGTTTTTGAGTTTTAATTGTATATTCAATAAGTCCATGAATTAAAAGAAAAAAAATCTAATAAATTCTTAAACTCTCCCTTTCATGTTTAATAAGTTTTTAAACTTTAAAAATGTCTTATATATCTATCAGACGCATAATTAATATTAAATTCATAGACTTATTTTTTATACAAAATTCATGATGTAAATATTTATTCGATAAATTTTCAGATCGCTTAACATCCCAACAAAACTAAAAATAATAGATCCATAATAAACTTGTTAGGTTATAATAAGCCAATCCAATAAAATCCACGAAGATTCCCTAAAAAGTAGATATCAAAATTTCACATGAAGTAGTACAACATTTAAATCTTATTATAAAAAAAAGGAAAAGGAAAATCAAAAGGTCCAATATAAATAGAATAAGCGCACACACTCCTTAAGAAAGAAAGGGTAGTATGGACAAATCCCTTTCTTATTAAATTATTATTATTTCTTTCCAATATAATATTCTCCCATTGGGTAAAATTAAAAAAGAAAAAAGAAAAAGGAAAAATCGACGAGTTGGGGCAATAAATCGTTAGGTGGCGAAAACATCGGATTGAGGAATAAGGAAACCGAGTTGAGCACGTGCGGAAAGCCACGTGGCAGGCTTTGAGCAGTCTGACAGCCCATAGGTGTGGTACCACCGCCTCAGGCTGTACCATCATAGTAAATGCGTGACGGGTCTCACAATTCGCACGTTTTAAGTTACCGGCTCCCACCGGTCACCGCCACCGGATCTATCGGTAACTCTTCCGATTAATTCATAAACATGCTTAAATTCGTAATAATACGACGCCCAAAATCCACTGCAACACTCCTCTCTCTTTTCCTTTCTCTGTTGTTCGCTTTATTTTGCTGCAGTTGAATTTTTTTTTCCTTTTTCTTCTCCTTATTTTTGGGTCTTGTTTTGGTTGGATTTGAGGTCGTTTTTGTCTGAATTTTGCGTTTCTGTCGGGATTTTGGTCTGAAATGGAGAGGGATTTCTTGGGTTTGAGCTCGAAGGAGCCGTTGGCTATGGTG